GTTCAGTCATCTGAGGTAATTTTTTTCAAAAAATATTAAAAAAACTGTTGGGAGGTATTTTCAAATCGGTCCAGCTCACGTAAATCTTAATATTTTTGCGAGATATTTTGTAGGAAGTCGTAAAATATAATAGGTTTTATAATTCCGGTTGAAAAACAGTACCGCTTTGTTTTGTATGGGGAGTGATGCCGTCTACTGTACATAAGTTGACTATGATTACTCGGCCGTCTATCATAGTAGCACAATGCCACTAACAGCCAGTTTCACCAAATTATTTAAGTTTAATTTTCGAATTTTTGGTTTCACCAATCAATTTTTAATTTTGATTTAAGTGACCTATGCTCTTCACTTAAATAAAAATTAAATCAGAATAACCACACTCAGAGGTGTTACAGGTTTAATCACCTGATCATTGTGTATCTGCTGCTTACTTGTATACCAGCCCTGCTTTTACAACACAGAGTGCCAAAGCTTTCAAAAGCTCTCAGCAAAAATGAAAGCTTTCGCTAGCCTAGTCTGTTTTACAACCACTTTTTATTCACTTAAATAAATAGTTTATTGAAACTGAAAATTCTTTAAATGAGAATTAAATACAAAATTAAATTAAAGTTAATTTCCACTTAAATAGTTTGGTGAAACTGGCTGTAAGTGCATTTTAAAATTTTCAGGCAATAGTTTCATGCGATTATCGATTATTTTTTTTGTTGTTTGTGTGAAATATTTTATTTTTATCAGCATTTTTCTTTTAATCAAAATATGTTGAAATAAAAGTGAAAAGAAAAAAAAATGTACTGGTTTTGCGTTTTCAATAACTTTTTCTGATATTTTAGTCTTCCACTCAATTTTACTCGCTATAATTCTTTTATTTTCTGGCTTCTAGTACTTACTGGAAAATTTTATGAATATACCTATTATGACAGCAACTTTTTTTTGATTTAAGTAAGAGTTACGTTTTTAATAAACACCACGTATTTACTTAAATAAAGTAGAAAAAGATGACTATATTTTTATGCACAAAAATTCAAAACTCCAAGTAAATAGAGAGTGGTATTTCGACATAATTGTGGTGCAGTACCGTATCTTGACAAAAATGTATCAAAAATGTCAATGAAGTACCAATGTACTTTTGGTTTCCAAAATGTACCAAAAAAGTACATTTGTACCATCAATTTCATCACTGGTATGTAGACAGCTACTCGCCTCGCTCGTTTAATAGGAGCGCTAGCAAACAACCAGCGCTGGCTCGTTTGGCGAGCAAGCCAAACTTCTCGTGCCTCGCCTCATTTCTCGCTCGCTCCAACTCCAAGTTGGTGCCCAAGAATGATAGGATACAAGATTGCGCCGATTGCAGCAGGATTCGTGAGAGTAGTTTTGGCGTGACGTCACCGTAGAGTTGACAACTGAGAGCGGCAAATAAAACTGCTGTCTAGTGATGTGTTGAATTGTCGGTACCCAATACTTAAAAAAGGTTTCGGTATCCAATACTTCCTTATCGGTACCCGATACTGATTCTTTACATTAAACCTTCGCCATTATATGCATTTCAAGTTTAGAAAAAACTTTCATTACTAATTTATATGATATCGGCTAAAACACTTGAACTTATCGCAACAGAGAAATATTATTTGATCTGTTTTAACCCTAGTCAATCCGAGGTCCAAGAAGAAAACTTTGACGGATAAAGAAGCCTTTCAGGGGTGGAGATTCTGTAACCAGTTAGCGACAAGTTTCCGATTGATATCGCACTTGTCGACGTAAAAATATTTCATATCATACGTCAACAAAACCGATACCGATTCAAAAATTGTCGCTAACTGGTTACAGAATCTGCCTACAAAAATTGATATCGTCCAGCTGTATTAAAAGCTCTATTGGCTCCTACATTCGGGTTTTGATAAGCGTGTCTCCCCTGAACCGTTTTTTCCATATGTTTGGCCTATGTGCGCTGTTATTCGAAACCTAAATGTTTCGGTACCGAGTATCGAGAGTATTGGATACTTAAAAGTATTGACTTAGCACATCACTACTGCTGTCATCTCGACTGTGACGTCAGCAAAACAGCTGATTCTGTCAAATTCACAGAGAACCGATTAGCGGTATTGCCATCGGCGCCACCTTCTGTATTCTCTCCACCGTGGTTATTGCCCACCCTGATTTTATATACTGCCTTTTTTATTGAAAAAATTTTGAAATTTTTATATTAGTTAGAGTTATAAAAAAAGTTCCATCGAGTACAGCAATTTCCCTTCAACAGTTCGAAAATCCAACAAATTGCCAATGTAAAAATATCACGGACTCGTCACCCCTTTTCCCCCTTCATTAAATAGAGTATCTTTTTCTTAAGTCGGTTATTGGGACGAATCGAGAGTACAGGAGGACAAAAATGTATACTCCATATGTATTTGACAGATTTCAATGAAATTTGGTATCCAGGGGTTTTCGTTGTTAATGATTTCAAAATTGATATGAAACTTTCAAAATTCAAAATGGCGGATACAATATGGCGAAAAAAATCTTAAAAAATGTATATATTGCTATGAAGCTTGGTATCCAGAGATTTTCGTCGTCACTGGTTTCGAAATTGATATTAAATTTTCAAAAATCAAAATGGCGGATCCAATATGGCGAACCACTTTTTTTAATTAAATTTCGAAATCAGTGACGACGAAAATCTCTGGATACCAAGATTCATAACAATCTATACATTTTTGAGGAAATCGTCCGCCATTTTGATTTTTTTAAATTAAATATCAACTTCGAGATCAGTGACGACGAAAAGCTGTGGATATCAAGGTTCATAAAAATCTATAAATTTTTTAATAAATCGTCCGCCATATTGGATCCGCCATTTTGAATTTTGGAAATTTAATTTAATATTCCAATTCAGTGACGACGAAAATCGCTAATTACCAAATTTCATTGAAATCTGTCAAATACTTATGGAGTAAACATTTTTGTCGTCCTATATTGTCGATTCGTTCCTATGTGCGCCGCCTGCTTGAGCAAAATTTTTACGTAATGTAATGGCCAGCACAAATCCCAGACCTCAACGCCATCGAAAAATTGAGCGCTGTGGTCAAGAGAGGATTAGCATAGCACAAGCGATCTCCGAGTAACATGGAAGAGCTTTGGAGGCGAATAAAATTATAATGGGGTAATATTCCAAGCAAAATCATAGAAAACTTAGTAGAGAGCATTCCAGTCGTATGAAAATCGCTATTAAAAGTAAGGGAGTCACCACCAGGGATGCCTTTTGGATCTAAATAGATCCAATTGGATACATTTTTAGACGAATTTTTGCGGGATACTTATTTTTTCCGGTCAGTATAAAAATTGATACTTTTTTAAATAGGCCAAAATTTTATATTTCCTATAAAGTTTTTTTCGTTCAAAAATCGATTTTCATTAAAGATAGTAGAAAGCATTACGTTTTCTAAACGTATAAAGAATCGCTACTTAAGCGTGAAATTAAAGCATTTTAATTTTTGTGAACGAAGCAATGAACATATGAAGAGATCTCACCAAAATAGGTATAAGCGCAATTGCTTTAATTAGCTTAAAAGGATGCTTTAAGCAAGATCTTAATATACATACATATCGTCGTTCAAAGTACAAAACCGCAACAAAATGCAAAACCGCGTATCAAGATAATGCAGAACTGCGTATGTGACGTTGCATAAATTATTTTCTAGAGAGTAAAAACACTTATATTTCAAAATGGTTCTCTTTTTTATAAATCAATCGCATTTCTGGCTAGTATATTTCAGGACGAAGCCAAGAGCTTGTGTGAGCAAATCCAATTTTTGGCAGCAAATGTCAGTTACGCGGTTTTGCAGAATGACGATACGCGGTTTTGTATTTTAAACGACGATATATGTAAAGTAAATTATACTCTTTCTGTAGTAATCTCTTTCATATCACATATTTTCATTTGTTAATTTAAAAAGAAAGAAGATTTCAATGTAGTTTAAAAAACTAAATTTGATTTATTTAAGGAAACTTTTATGAATTTTACTGAAAAGACTTTAAATACACTCTAAAAAATTTTGTTTATTTGCGCATATTGAGAGAGGTATCCGGTTTCCTCTTTTAATGTATGGAAATGTGCAAGCCGTGTAATAAAATTAATCATTGCCTGTTTACTTTTACACATAAAATGTTTAAAATAAAGTAATGTTTATTATTAGTAGGAAATGTATTTGTAGTTTGAAAATTGTTGCAATTTTAAACATTCTACATATGTGTATTTATGTGTATATTTTAAAGATCTCAAGTTCAAAATCAAATACTATATACGTATATTATACAGATTCTTGTTGAGAAATATATACTTTTCAGTAGTAGTTTTACATGCTCTTTTTAGAGTGTACTTGCTATTTATTATATTTACTCTGCAAAATACTTATGCACAAAAAATGTACTTTATAAATTGAAATTACAAATGTTTGATTTTATGCACATGTATTCCAAGTCCTTAGCATGGATTAAATTATGTCTTTTTCATGAAAATGTTTGGTTTTCTTACAAGTTATGAGATGTATATGTAAAAAAAGAAAATTGGATACATTTGGATAAATTTTTGGCTTGGTCAGGGATACATTTTCTTGAGACGGCGCGGCAACACTGGTCACCACAATCCTTTTGATATCAACCTCCTAAAATCTTAAAACAGAAAAGTTCAAAACTGAGTCAATAGAGTTGCCTTGCGTTTTTGCTGTGAATCGCTTGTTTCTTTCTTAAGTTTAGTTTTTCTGTATACAAGGCTTTATTCGTTAGATAATAAGGACCAATTGCTGAAAATTTCAAAGCAATCCGCTTCTTATTAAAAAAGTTATGTTACTGTAGGTAATAAAATGTCGTACATGCACTCGGTTTTGATCGCCAGTGTAATGTGTATGTTATGCCAAAATATAAACTTAATTGTGTTTCTGACAAAAGGTGATTTTATTGTGTTACATTTGTTTATACAAAATATAATAAATCGAAACTTAAATAATTACCTGAAAAAAGGTGAAACGACATTTTAATTTCTCGATGCTTGCCAATTGTAATCAAAAATGTCGTTTTATAATGTGTATGTTATGCCAAAATATAAACTTAATTGTGTTTCTGAAAAAGGTGATTTTATTGTGTTACATTTGTTTATACAAAATATAATAAATCTAAACTTAAATAATTACCTGAAAAAAGGTGAAACGACATTTAGAGTTTATAATTCGGTCTTATTCTTCAAGTCTTCTAGAACAAATGAATTTTACCCTATCATGATCCTGTGTTTCACTTCTTCTCCTCTTCTTCTTTATGTTCATATCCGTAGAGTTAAGTTTATGTTGCACGTAGTTTACACTTAGAATATAATCAATTTAAGTAATGGGTAGTTTAGACTTACAATATAAAAGTTTAGATAATAAGTAAAATAAGGCATTGACAATGTTTTACATATCCCTCCTTCGGGAAGAGATTTGCCAAATCTCGAAATAGTAAATCTATTTTTATTTTTATTAAATTTCTATTTTATTTATTATTATTATTATTAATATTACTATTATTTTTCATATTTTTGTATCAGTATGATTTGGAATGGGGATGAGCATTGTGACATGAAAAAAATTAGACTCTGCTTTTCTATGGCCCGTATTTATTTTATACATTGAATTGGACATTTTTTCTAAAATCGTATAAGGTCCTATCCTCAATTCATCTAATTTTTTTCTATTTAACCGGTTTCCATTTTGTATGTATACCTGTACTCCTACACTGAGGGGAAAAAATATTAAAATCAAATAGAAACGTAATTGATCTTACTATAAACGTCAACGAAAGTACTGTATATTGGTAAATATTCAATTCAATTACGCGCATATTAAAATGACCGCGTTCATACTGAAAAAGCATCCGCGAAGTGAATAATCAAGACAAAAACTAAAAAAAAAAAATTTAATTTGCATGTTGCCTGCAGTGGAAATCGAACCCGACCATCTCCGGATATCAACAACTTGTGGCAAGCATCTTTGCGCACTCAGCTACACCCAGGTATATAAATTTGTTTTCGAATGTTGAATATCCAGCATCACCACAGCACGCGATTTGTACTATGTATGTATATGTCTGTTGTCGCCCTCTCAGAGCGGCGCTCTGCATGCTTGGGGTGCGTATGTACACTTACATATACATACTCAGATGTGAACAGTCAAATACGTGCGTAATAAATTTTGTATGAAAAAATTATTTTTAAATACGAACATTTTTAAACGATAATCAAATATAAAGTATTCATTTTTACTATGCATTATTTCCCTCAGTGTACGTTTAACTCAAGTTTATTTCTATTTTTATCGAAACGTAACTTATTGTAATTGTGTGATTTCATACTATTTTGAAATGCTATTTGTCTATCTCGTGCAAGTTCATTTTGTGTTTTCTTATTTCTTAGTTTGATTGGTAAGATAGTAGTATCGTCTCCTTCTAATAAGTATTTAGGAGTAAATCCTGTTGCCGTATGTTCAGTTTCATTATATTTTTTTGTGCATTCATGAGCAACTGTTGTCCATGCTAATTTCTTTTTACTTTCATTTATTCTACATCTGATTTTATTTACTAATGTTTGGTTTACTCTTTCATTCAGACCATTTGAGAATGGTGCATTTACCGCAGTAAAAACAATTGGTATCCTTTTTTGATATACAAAATTTTTGAATTCCGTAGAATTTATACCCGGATACTGATCTGTCAAAATCATACCTACATTATAACTTTCAGTAACTTTATTGACGAAGTGTATACAATCACTAGAGTTTTGAGTTTTTGACGTCAAAATGTACGCATATCGCGTAAAATGATCAACTAATAAGTGCAAATATTTTTTCGTAGATCGTGAACCTCCAAAACCCTCAATTGTATCTATCGAAACTATTTCGAAGGGGCTATTAGCAGGGCCTAAATGCGACAACTGCCCAAACTTGCTTTGTCTGCTTGATTTATTTTTATGCATATAGCACAGCTTTTTCAATAGTCTTTTATATTTTGTGTTAAGTTTTTTGCTGTAAAGAATGGACTAATTTTGTTCTGTATTTGCTTTATGCCTATGTGACAGTAATGCTCATGTGTGCTTTTTATCAATTTAATACTTAAGTCCTCAGAAATTAAAATTGTTTCGTGTTTTCCAAATTTTTTATAATAAACTTTATTTTTGTTTTCAGGTTCTCATCGTAATTTTCGTTGGGCTCTAATACTGGATTTCTACTCAGACAATCCGCTTCCAAGTTGTATTTCCCTGGAGAGTATTTTATTTCAAGGTCAAACTGTGAAAGATAATAGGTTAAATCTCCGAGTTCTTCATCCGTTCTTGCTTTTATATTCATTTTCTCCAAGGGTTTATGGTCAGAGAAAACTACGAACTTTCTTCCTATAAGTCGATGTTGCCAATACTTTACTGCTTCATTAATTGCAAGGCATTCCAAATAAACAGCTTTTTTTCTTTTCTGTGCCTTATTTAGTTTTTTTTGAAAAATACGCTACTGGCTTTTCTTCATTATCTTTTTGTGGTTATTTTAAAACAGCCCTAGGCATAGGGGCGTCTGTGTATATGTATATCGGTAAATTAGGATCGAAAATTGCTAAAATAGGTTTCGAACACAGTGAAGTTTTCATATCATCAAATGACGTTTGACACTTTTCCGTCCAAACAAAATCTTGCCCCTTCTTCAGTAAGTTATGTAAAGGGTCTAATATAATGGAAATATTCGGTATATGCTTATGATAAAATTTATCTTCCCTTCTTTGTCTAACATTTTTTCGTGTTTTTGGTACAGGAAAATCACGTATTGATACTAAATTGTCTTTTAAAGGGCTGACTGAGTTCATCCTGATCGTATGGCCTAAATACTTAACCGAATCTGCTGCAAAAGTGCATTTCGATTATTTTAGTCTGAAGCCTTCTTTCAATATTGCTTCCAGCGATCGTGACAAGTGGTTCATATGTTCCGCGAATGTTTTTGAAAAAATAAGAATGTCGTCTATGTAATTCGCCGCAAATTCAGATAGTTTGTGTTTCCTTATTTGTTACGAGGGTGTCAGTCGGCAGAGGTGAAGGCAGTACACAGGCATGGTGGCAAAGCCCAGGCTAGCTCTCCGGATGGGGGGGTTATTTTCGCACACCTTACCTACCCTGCGTAAACAAAATTATCATGCCTGCTCATCAGTACTAGCGGTACAAACAAACACAAGAAAGAAGGAAAGTCAAGTTGAAAAGAAGGCCCGTCCTGTCAGGTGGAGTCGTCCCACCCGCTTTGCGTCTTTCGCTTACGCAGCCATGGGCGTTGGTCTGACTCCTACTGTTGCTACAACGCCCCCTTAGCCTGACATAGTGTGTCTGTCTATTCGTCGATCAGTTCTGTCCCAGTCCAGTCCCTAGTCAACGCCCTCACGTCCCCTCTTAAGCCCAGGTGTAACACCCACACCAAAGATAACGAATCTACCACTTCATCTTAAATGAGTCTCCTCAACCATGAAATAACAAATACGTAACACCTCTGTTCATTTGCTTACAATTTATTCACCGTATATATAACTAATTATAAAATAAAACGATCAAATAATTAAATGATCATGAAAATCAAATTCAAAAAAAAATAGGACTGACTGTATAATAAAGCTACGCGAATTTCAATTTATTTTGAAAAGGAGAATCGTTATGATACTTAAAAATAAAATAGAAATTCAATTCGGCTAACACTAATGAGCAATTCAATCAATCTTCAAATTATAATGCAAGAAGGCAAACAAATAAAAGTAAAGAAAAAAATAACAATGGTAAAAAAACTTACTGTACTAACGAACTAAATCCATAAAAAAATATTTAAAAAAGTAAATTATGGAAATTATGAATTCAACAGGAAAATTCAAGAAGTCTTATTCATCTAAATTCCCAACTCTTTAGCAGTTTACCTATTTCTTTGCTAACACAACGTGAATGCCCTTAATATGTGCAAACGAAAAATTCAAAGAGAAAAAAAAGTAAAGCAACCGCGAACAGGAATATCAAAAAAATATGTTAGGCAAAACAAAACCACCGAAATAGGTATTCATATGTACTATGTATAAACATACGTATATATGTATAGGCATCAAATTGTTTTTCCACTCACCTTAGTAGTCCCACGATGATGGTACCAACATACTGAGAGGACCCTGGAAACGGCTGGAAAGCAATATACATACATACATAGTCACAGCTGAGGTCTGCACGCCTGAGCTGTCAAACACATAATCACTCGCTCGTGTTTGCGGGCGATGAGCGAGTCACTATTCTGCGGCCAAGTAATTATAAAATAACGCGATGCGAAAAAAAACCGAAATAAAAAGTGGTCGAAAATTTTAAAAACAATTGAGAAAAAAAATTAAAAAATTTAAATTTAACCAAAAGAAGAATTTTATAGTGTGGAACGAAACACACCGGACCGCCAGAAAATGAAAGAAAAAAAGGGAAAATTTTAGTTTGGCATCCCCCGCGTACAAAAAAAAGGTGGCTATGGGGGGGTAGGGGGAGTTCTCCTGATTGCAAATATATATACTTTTAGCCGCAGGAGGCTTAGAGTTTTTAAGTTATTTGTTGTTAAAGTTTGTAAATTGAACTAACCTCTCGGCGCTATTTCACACAATAAACACTATATTTATGTAGACACTTCGGCAAAATAGTTACATTAAAACCCCGCACAATGAAATGTAAACATATTTTTTACATTTATGATGTATTTTTAGTAAATTAAGTAAATTTTAATAATTATCACGCACTTATATATGTATACGCACATTGTGAATACAGAACCGTTGATTCAACCATGGTTTCACACTGACATTAGAAGAGTGCAGCCACATCTAAGAAAATAACAATAAAAGAGAATAGTTTTTATCGTACCCATTTTCCTGCTCAGCGTTGAATTAGTAGTAAAGGAGGGTATGGGGTTAAATACCACCAATATATAAAAAAAAACTGACAAGCGCCGCAGGCGAAAATTTTTAATAAAAAATCGCGCGATTTTTTGTTATAAATTTTCATTATTTATCGAAGTATTGATTTTTATGGAAAAAGCGCCGCAGCAGAAAATTTGTAATAAAAAATCGCGGGATTTTTTATTAAAAATATTCATTATTTATCGAAGTATTGATTTTTATGGCAAAAGCGCCGCAGGCCATTGTTATTTCTGCTTGTTTGTAAAATGTGCAAACGTTTGTGAAATGTGCAAACGTTTGTGAAGACATTTATAAACGCGTTTTACTTAATTAATTAATTAAGAATTGTATATTAAAGTGGAAATCTCAGGCCGGGGTTTTAATGCAACTATTTTGAGGAGGGTGTACATAAATAAAGTGTTTATTGTGTGAAATAGCGCCGAGAGGTTAGTTCAATTTACAAACTTTAACAACAAATAACT